ACAACGTCTCAGACATTGAACGCAGCCAGTGACACTCCTTTCGTAGCTTTTTCAAGAAATCATTCAACTGTCTACAGAAAAAACAGTGTTCAACAAGGGAAAGGAAGATTAGTAAACAGCAGTTTAGCTTCTTTCTGAATCATTTAAAGGACTCTTATGTTACGAAAATTCCAAGACTTTTGGAGCTTCAAAAGTGAGCTGAGCCTAATTGAACAGAAAAGCAAGCTGTCTCATGTAAGTGAACTTTCACAAACTTCACTCCATAATTTTGATCAACAAAGGGGCCTTCAACACCGGACATGACTGGAGATACATGCCTAAAAAAACTGAACAAAAATAGAAAGAAAAAAAAAAACACAGTGCGGTAATACCTAATACCACAGTAGTTTGCTTTAAAGCCCTATATAGCGTTGTGTAGACCTCAGTTACCCTTAGTATTTTGTTTAATACGGTTTCGGTTGCACTGTTTATTGTTTTAGGGGTGAGTAATCAAGCTACATAGTAGTTCGTTTTTTACGACTTCTACGTTTAAATGTACTATATAATATATACATGGGCCCAATTTTTGTGAAAGGTTTGAACCCAGGAGTCATTTCATAAGTGGGTTGAGCATGATCATTCGGGTGAACTTTGTCCTGAATAAGACTGTTGCTGACAGTAACTGACGTTTTGAAAACCTGTGCGGTACGTAGTCATCCTTAGAGTCGAAGTGAAAAGTTTCACGTCAGTTGGTGGTATTTAACTCTGGTTATTGACCTGATTGGTCAACTAAGGCGGATGTTATTGGTCGTCTGTCAGTTAAGCCGTGATGTTATTGGCCATGAAGACTCGTAATACCATTGGCGCGTTTTGATTCGTCTGTTGTCGCAGCTAAAGAGTTGTTTATTGTCGGTCAAATTGTCGATTATTGCTGGTCAAATTGAAGCTTCAACAGCTACAAATATACGAATGACGAGACGAGCCCAACTAGTTTGCGACTCGCCTGACAGCCTTCAAGACGAGACTGTCTACCTAAACAACGTTTCTAGTAAAAACAACTTCAACGCGGACTTTGTTAGACGAAATACTCACAGCGACGCTGATTCCAGCACTCAGACCAACGTTAACTCTGGCCCCGTTGCGACAGCAACTATACCGTCGAAACCATACATCAGAGGCACCTCTGAAATTCCGTATCGCACGTATACTACGACCTTACAACATATCCGTTGCACACAAACCAATAACCACTTTACGACGACTACTTACTAATGTCAAGGACAAAGACAAACCGGAGGACCGACAGGGAGCAGTATACAAGATCAAATGCTGCGACTGCCAGGCTACTTGCATTGGTGAGAACGGCAGAAAACTTAACCGCGACTGGCTAAACACATGCACAAACGAGCGCCAAGAAATGGTGACGTCAACAATCATATTGCTGAACACCATTCAGACAAAACATCAAATCGACTCACTTTAGAAAGCTGGTTTACCAACTTAGAACGAACGCCACTGAATTGTAGTCAACAGTTACCGGCACCGTTCAAACGACTTATTGATGGACACAAGCAAAACTAACTACAGTACGAGAGAGTGTCCGGACATCGGACAATTTGACTGACAATAAACGAGTGTTTAACTGTGAGAATAGACGGATCAAAACGCGCCAGTGACGAGTCTTCATAGCCAATAACATCACAGCTTAACTGACAGACCACCAATAACTTTGAGACTTTATTGACCAATGAGGTCAATAAACAGAGTTTAATACCATCAACTGACGGGCTACTTTTCACTTTGGTTCTAAAGATGAATACCACCTCGGCACAGGTTGTCAAAAAGTCAGTCACTGTCAACAACAGTCCTATTTAGGACTTCAGACGATCATGCTCAACTTACAACAACAACAATTTTATTGTACCCAAAGCAGATATACCAAATTTTCGATTCTTATGGAAATTCTTGATTAGTGTAGGTAATAATATGATTTGTAGTGATATTTGGCATAAATACCACGAGTGAGGATTCAGGAAAGATCTGGAAGGCGGTGAATGAGGTGTCTTCGCGCAAGACTAAATCCTCGAGCCCACAATGTATCGTAGTTGATGGTGTTGAACACACCACCCCAGCCTCTATTGCATCCGTGCTCAACTGTTATTTCTCATCCATTGGCAGAAGTCTTGCAAATAAAATATCAGCTGCTGCTATGTTCCCAGTCAGATCGGCCACGATGCTACAGTCTTTCTCGCTTGACGAAGTTGATGAGAAAACAGTACTCAAGCATCTGCTTTCTCTAAAGACAAATAAAGCTATTGGCTTGGACAACATCAGTGCGAGACTTTTAAAGTATGGCGCGCGTGCTATTTGTCCCTCGATCACCAAGTTACTGAATCTCTCTATTCGCACTGGCAATTTTCCTGAAATATGGAAATGCTCGAAAGTGGCTGCACTTTTCAAAACTGGAGATAGGAGAGATGCGTCAAATTATCGCCCAATTTCTATTCTGCCAACAATGAGTAAAATTCTGGAAAAAGTCGTCCATTCCCAATTCTATGACTTTCTGAATTCAAATAATCTCCTTTCAAGCAAACAATTTGGCTTCCGTCCCAAACTGTCTACAACATCGGCTCTCACCAGTTTTGCAGATGAGGTCCTATTGCATATGGAGAGTGGAGAACTGTGCGGTGCAGTGTTCCTAGATCTGACCAAGGCATTCGATACCGTTGACCATACGATCTTGCTATCTAAATTGTCGGCTATCAATGTCTCGCCCAGCACTCTACAGTGGTTCAAGTCTTACCTGAATCATCGTAAACAGCGGACTGCCTGTAGCGATGCTGTGTCTGACCCTCTCCCGATGACCTTTGGGGTACCACAGGGGAGCATTCTAGGACCGCTTCTCTTCTTGGTTTATATTAATGACCTTCCGCTGGTTATAAAGAATTGCGAAGTGACTTTGTATGCTGATGACACGGTCCTGTACTACTTTGCTAAAGAGCCACACCTGTTAGAAGAGGCACTAAATGATGATCTCTTGAAAGTTGCCCAGTGGTTACATGGAAATAAGTTAACTTTAAATCTTACTAAGACGAAATCCATGATTATAGGCAGTAATAGGAAACTTGTTGGTATTTCCTCTTTCACGTTATCTATTTTTGACACTGATATAAATTCTGTAAGTAGTTTTAAATATTTGGGAGTTATGTTGTCTTCAACTTTCACATGGTCCGACCATATTGAGTATATTTCATGTAAGGTTAATAAAAACCTTGGTCTTCTACGTAGGATTAAGTATTATTTACCTTATGATGCCCGGTTACTTTTTTATAATAGCTTAGTGCTACCTATTTTTGATTATGCTGATTTAGTCTGGGGTGACAAGGACAATGTCTCACTTATGAAGGAATTGCAAATTCTCCAAAACAAAGCAGCTAAGTTGATATTAGATAGATCACCTCACTCCTCATCCACCGATGCATTGATTGTCTTGAGATGGCTGAATCTTGAAGAACGTAGGAAATGTCATCGATGTATATATGCATACAAGTGTATTAATGGCCAACTTAATCATTCTTTGGACATTGTAAGAAAGAGTGATATACATTCCTACAATACGCGCAATAACGATACTATCAAGCTCCCCAAAATTAAATATAATTGGGGAAAACAACGTTCGCGGTACCACTGTTTCAAAGACTTTAATGAATTAGAGAGAACTGTAAGAAACTCAGCAAGTTTTCCAATTTTTAAGAAGTGTCTTTTTTCTGCTTTTTATAATTGAGTACTTGTAGTGTGTATGTTTTAATTATTTCTGTAACTGGATTTTAGCCTGAATTTTTTTTTTTTTTTTTTTAGCTTAACCTTTTTATATTTTAATTGTATTATATAATATACATCTCGTAATTAGGACCTCTATGTAAACCACTCTTGTGATGGAGCATCCTATTAAAAGATTGTTATTATTATTAGTGATATTTCGAAATTGTTATACGTAATTTCGCGAACCGTTAGTCGAGTGAAATTTGAGACAATTTTGAAATATCAATGGTGGTATTTATGCCAAGTATCACGTACAAATCATGCTATTATTTGTTTATACTGCTACCCGCAAAATGTTTGTAATTTGCACATGTAGGTTTTCCAAATTAAGCTGAAATACCACTGCTCTAAGCTAATCAATTTGCATAAATTTCTCATGTAGTAGTAAAATGAAAGTAACAAACTTTCCTTTTGAAGGCCAAACTAGACGTTTTGTAACAATGGCTATCCGCTCATTCTCTAGCCTCCCACGCATGCGTTTTTAGGAGAGCTCGTTTTCCATCTCTCCCCACAAACGCCTGCTCAACCGAAGACAACATTCCTTTCTCACGCTTAGCTTACCTTCCAAATTCAACACTTCATTGCACAGCTGTTGATTGGTCACTTACCACGCAAATAAAACAATGGGAAAGGAATGTTGTTTTCGGTTGAGCAGGCGTTTGTGGGGAGGGATGAACAAAGCGCTTCCCTAAAAACGCCTGCGTGGAAGGCTACTCATTGTCTGGCAAAATGTCTGACTTAATTTCTTGGATGACTTTCTAACTGTAATGTTCAACAGCCACGCACCTGCAGCAATTTAACTTATTAATTAGATCATGAGTAAAAAATAAAAGATAAATTCTGATTCCGATCCAAGTAACCCATCAGCCCTCAGCTCATCTCAGTTTCAGTGGCATGAAGCTACAAGGAATGTTTCTACTCTCCCAAGGACGGGATGCTAGTTCGCATGGTTACCCCTCCTCGGTACCTATTTATGAACCTGATTGAAGAGAGACAAAGTGGAACAAAGTTGCTTGTCTAAGAAGTAACGCGATGGAAGGTTTGAACCTGGACCTCTAGATTCGAATTTCTAGGTGTAACATTAACAGCTCGGTCACCACCCCTCTAATTAAATCCCCAGGATTTAATTTGGTCCCGAGTACTTACCTCCAAACGTCATCATAACGCTCTTGTCGAGCAGTGCCGCTTTGGTTACCAAAAATTTGCAGCTTAATGACACTCTTGTAGCACAACAATTGAAGAACATGGTTTTTATTGTCCAAGGCAAATCTGGCTTTATTAGCGTACAGTTCATACGTATTATTAAACTGAGGAGTTTTTCCAAACAGCACAACTAGTCGGCAGAACAGTCCAAACGGTACGTATTTAGGTCGAAAGGTGAGGTAAATCGGTGCCGCGTTTTCTTCTTCTTTTTCTTTTTCTTTCTTGCCTTCATAAAAGGTAGTCAGCATACAGGGGACCAGGACTTGCGATTCTCCTGTTCTTGTTTCTTCTGTTTTCTCTGGCCACTTGCAAATGAGGTTGAACTTATCCATTAAAGAGATCAAAGAGTCTTTGATAAGATCCACGTTTTCTTTGCTACACGTATAATCAATTAACCGTCCACTGAGAACTCCTTTATTCTTTAATTCCTTGCGATCTTCTTTTATCCACAGCTTTTCGTCCTTATCCGGTTTCACTTTGATAATCTCACAGAGCACATTGATTGACCACTGGGGATTCAAGACTATGAGACCATCTTTCTTTTTATCATGTTCATGGTACACTATTGTTCCACGGCCATGCAAAAAATACACAAGCTCATCAAAGTCTTCCTCCCTCTTAAAAGTGCAGTGGTGTGAAACAATATCTTTTCGAAAAGCTTCCTTTTGGAGGTATTTTTGATTTTGCCAGACGGGTTGGCTGATTTCTTTCTCAACACGATGCCACTGCAAAGGGATTTTTCTCTTGGTATGAGGCATTTTATCAGCCAATTCCAAGATCTTTTTTCGCAATTCACCGATTTCCTTCTCGTGGTCGGCTGATTCTCCAGATTTTGAGTTTTCAATCGGAAGGTGACTATCGATGTGTGGTAAATAAGTTTTTTTTATCAAACACACCCTTCTCTCCTACTACAGAGTCAATTACTTTACGTGGATCGTCTACACCGTCAGCATGGGTACCGACAAGTATGACTGGAGGATACGAAGTACCATCACTCTGAAAATCCTTCTTTAAAGAGTGAATCAAGTCCATCCACCTTAACAAGTGATCCAAATTGGTGTCTTCACCATCGCGGGCTACTGCAGTGAGCTCTTTGTGTCCCACATTGACTCGATATTCTGCTTTTTCACTCAATTTCTTTGTAAGATCAAACACGAGAAGATAAATGTCATCTGAGGACATAAAGATCGGATGTATAGCACGATAGATGTCCTGTCCAGCAAAATCCCAAATGATGGGCCAAATTTTTTCATCAGTGTCACCTTCATTTTTCTCGAGGTGTTGTTCTAATATTATGGCAATTTCATCTGGAACGCCAAATGGCTTCTCTTGATTTTCAAGGTCTTGGTCTTCTGAAACAAAAAAGAATAATTTTCTGTGTTATTAGTGAAACTCTTCTAGTATTTACGCTAATGCAAATCCAGCCTTTCAGCGATTGCCTGACAGAAACATGGGTCTCCACCAAAAAATACTTGTTGAACTCACTAGTAAGTGCTTCCTATATTTGTGATAAAATAAAGAGGAGCTAAAGTTTACTCTTGTTTTTCTATCCTACCTGCGGATAAAACCTCGAGTTGGCCTCTACCTCGTACCCAGACGTCTCTCTCTCTCGATGAAAATTTGCGCGCAAAGGAAGCCAGGAAGGAGAAAACGGGCTTCGCCACCATTCTTTACCCCTGTTATGGTCCTTTACGCTTCGTTACCAGTCATTCGCCTTTTGCGCTTGCCTCTATTCGAAACCATGCGAAAAACGAAGCGCCTGAGTAGGAGGCTGAGTTTTGTTTACAAAAGCTGTTCGTTCAATTACCGCCTACAGAAAGTTGTGTGAGGAGTGATTTAGAAAAAGAGGCAATTAGAGACAGTATTTTACCACTCTGAAATACAGTTAACGACAAGAAACAAATAAACCTAGCAAAGCCTCGATTAGCCGCGGCCACATATATTAAAGATCCAGAGCACAGTTTAAGTTGTAAGTAAAGAGAAACGTTCGTATTGTTTGCATTCATTTGTTGGTGTAGGCGCGGAAGCATTTCTTCCAGTTTCTGTTAATAAGAACAAAAGAAAAGAATCAATCGCCATTCTTTCCCGGAATAGTTATTTTCAGGATTTACTCAGGGGCAGGCATCGATTTACTATCGGAACTTTGCGTTTTTTTAGGATTTTATCCACAGACACAAATGATAGAACCATTTGGTACTACATAACAAATAACATCACATCAAATAGTTTTGCTTGGTAGCTATCATTTGATTTGTCACATTTTTGATTTTGATGGAACCCACAGACATCTCAAAATTCGGAGCACATTACTGAAGATGCTGTAGAAGCGTACATAGCAGAAGGCGTTAACTTACGATTTTTCTGGGCCTGGTTTTCCTTGACCTCACTAGGAACTTCTTCCTGTTGGCGGAGTTGAAATTTTCCTTCATCAGCTTTTGACAAAATCGGAATTTCTGTGTGGGTATAGAAATAAAAGGTAATGAGAGAAATTAGTGTTGAAATAGATAGACTGATCCACGCTAAGAAAATTACCCAACTTTAAGCCTGAAATATCGGAAGCTGAGTCAGAGAGATGGATTTCCTCTCATGGCCAATAAATCTACTACCTTGTTCTCTCTATGCGTTCCGTCTGTTTTTACTTACGATTTTTCTGGGCCTGGTTTTCCTTGACCACTCTAGAAGCTTCTTCCTGTTGGGAGAGTTGAGTTTTTCCTTCATCTGCTTTTGACGAAATTGGGTTTTCTGTGTGGTTATAGTAAAACAAAAGCGTGGAATGTACGAAATTAGTGTTGAAATGTATAGCCTGTGCAAAGCTCAGAGATTATTCACCTTCACCCTTGAAGGATCGGAAGTCAGAGAGAAAGATTTCCTCTGATGGCCTATAAGTCTACTACCTGGTTCCCTTCGTACGTTCCGTCTATTTTTTAGTACTCTGATGCGGGACTAGATGATATCTTATAAAAAATCCGTCAACTTAAAAAGATGAAAGTCAATTCGTGTTTAATCAGCCTATCCCGGGGGAGAACAGGAGGAAAGGGTTAATGCCACCAACCCAAAGGTTGCCGGGTTTTTTGATTTTTCAGAACCATTTAATTGCAAGAAACTTTTTCCCTTCAGTGACTTTTATCTATTCCTTAGAAAACTGTATATAGCGGCCATGTATTAAGCGGCTAGTTTTCTAAGCCCCGATTTTTCGCACATACAAACGCTGTATATGTTTTGATGTTTTGCCAACGATTACCTTAATTTTGCGTCGTAGAAAAAGTGCTTTTTACGGATACTTCTACCCCGTTTAAGCAAATTGAATGACATGTTCTTTTCTTCTTTTCTTCAAAGAAAATTTACATCTTTATCGTAAACCAATGAGCTCCAGAACTTTTGGCAAACAGCGTCGAGCTCAGGGTTCTTTTTAACAGTTATCACAGAGGGGAAAAAATAAAATTAAACGAATATGTTTAGGACTTACCATCTTCAACAAATAATTGACCTGTTTTGTTAGACGCTACAGTTCTTGGCTGTTTCTTTGCTGGCTGCTTCGAATGTTTGGTTAATAAATCCTCAGCGGTCTTTGCAGCAACCTTATGATCAAATACTGTTGTGTGTTCAAGAAAAGCTGGATTCCGCCACGCGCCTGTTCCAGCATTCTTGATAGCAGGGAACATTTGCACTCCCTCGGTACTGGGTTCGGCTTTATTAAAAGGTTCACCTCTTAGAGCTTTACCGAGGCTTGTTTTGCCCACACGGTCTTGCCCTACGAGCAAAACCTTGACACGTTTATCATATGTACTACCACCAGTCACAAGGGCCCTATGGTAAGCAGCCAGTGCCTTGACTCCTCTAGCTCGCACATAGGCTGGAATCCAATCTAAAAGTATTAAAAGAATCGGTTTAAAAATTGGAGGTGACATCAGACCAAAAAATATTCATGATGTTGTTGAAACCGAGGCGGAAGCATTAAAAACACATATATTTGGGTCTAATGACTATGATTGAACGTGCTAAACAGGGGCAGGCATCGATTTACTATCGGAACTTTGCGTTTTTTTTTGGATTTTATCCACAGACACAAATGATAGAACCATTTGGTACTACATAACAAATAACATCACATCAAATAGTTTTGCTTGGTAACTATCATTTGATTTGTCACATTTTTGATTTTGATGGAACCCACAGACATCTCAAAATTCGGAGAACATTACTGAAGATGCTGTAGAAGCGTACATAGCAGAAGGCGTTAACTTACGATTTTTCTGGGCCTGGTTTTCCTTGACCTCACTAGGAACTTCTTCCTGTTGGCGGAGTTGAAATTTTCCTTCATCAGCTTTTGACAAAATCGGAATTTCTGTGTGGGTATAGAAATAAAAGGTAATGAGAGAAATTAGTGTTGAAATAGATAGACTGATCCACGCTAAGAAAATTACCCAACTTTAAGCCTGAAATATCGGAAGCTGAGTCAGAGAGATGGATTTCCTCTCATGGCCAATAAATCTACTACCTTGTTCTCTCTATGCGTTCCGTCTGTTTTTACTTACGATTTTTCTGGGCCTGGTTTTCCTTGACCACTCTAGAAGCTTCTTCCTGTTGGGAGAGTTGAGTTTTTCCTTCATCTGCTTTTGACGAAATTGGGTTTTCTGTGTGGTTATAGTAAAACAAAAGCGTGGAATGTACGAAATTAGTGTTGAAATGTATAGCCTGTGCAACGCTCAGAGATTATTCACCTTCACCCTTGAAGGATCGGAAGTCAGAGAGAAAGATTTCCTCTGATGGCCTATAAGTCTACTACCTGGTTCTCCACGTACGTTCCGTCTATTTTGTAGTACTCTGATGCGGGACTAGATGATATCTTATAAAAAATCCGTCAACTTAAAAAGATGAAAGTCAATTCGTGTTTAATCAGTCTATCCCGGGGGAGAGCAGGAGGAAGGGGATAATGCCACCAACCCAAAGGTTGCCGGGTTTTTTGATTTTTCAGAACCATTTAATTGCAAGAAACTTTTTCCCTTCAGTGACTTTTATCTATTCCTTAGAAAACTGTATATAGCGGCCATGTATTAAGCGGCTAATTTCTAAGTCCCGATTTTTCGCACATACTGATACAAACGCTGTATACGTTTTGATGTTTTGCCAACGATTACCTTAATTTTGCGTCGTAGAAAAAGTGCTTTTTTCGGATACTTCTACCCCGTTTAAGCAAATTGAATGACATGTTCTTTTCTTCTTTTCTTCAAAGAAAATTTACATCTTTATCGTAAACCAATGAGCTCCAGAACTTTTGGCAAACAGCGTCGAGCTCAGGGTTCTTTTTAACAGTTATCACAGAGGGGAAAAAATAAAATGAAACGAATATGTTTGGGACTTACCATCTTCAACAAATAACTGACCTGTTTTGTTAGACGCTACAGTTCTTGGCTGTTTCTTTGCTCGCTGCTCCGAATGTTTGGTTAATAAATCCTCAGCGGTCTTTGCAGCAACCTTATGATCAAATACTGTTGTGTGTTCAAGAAAAGCTGGATTCCGCCACGCGCCTGTTCCAGCATTCTTGATAGCAGGGAGCATTTGCACTCCCTCGGTACTGGGTTCGGCTTTATTAAAAGGTTCACCTCTTAGAGCTTTACCGAGGCTTGTTTTGCCCATACGGTCTTGCCCTACGAGCAAAACATTGACACGTTTATCATATGTACTACCATCAGTCACGAGGGCCCTGTGGTAAGCAGCAAGTGCTTTTTCTGCTCTAGCTCGCACAAAGGCTAGAATCAAATCTAAAAGTATTAAAAGAATCGGTTTAAAAATTGGAGGTGAAATCAGGCCAAAAAATATTCATGATGTTGTTGAAACCGAGGCGGAAGCATTAAAAACACATATATTTGGGTCTAATGACTATGATTGAACGTGCTAAACAAGAACTACTCCCACTGAGTTATCGATGGGTTTCCCCTGAGAACGTGGAATATTACACTAAATATTAATAAAGGAAAATCTTTTACCACAGAAATTAAAATTAACGTTTTTCTGCATAAGATTGCAGAAGCATCTCAAGATTTGAACTGTGTTACGGCATTAAGCCACCAGGAACTTGTATTGCCACCAAAATGAGCAAGAAATAAACTATGAAATACCGCCTAAAACAATGAAGGAAGGTTGAAATAGCACCACAATTAAAAATACAAGCGAAGGTACGGATGGGCAAAACAATACTATACAAACCAATATGGACAAAAAACTCTTTTCATGTGGTGTTTTTATTGACTTAAAAAAAGCCTTTGACACTGTGAATCATACTATTTTACTTGATAAACTAAATTATT